TAGTATTTTTTTTTTATTTTTTTTTTTTTATGAAAAAAATGTGAAGTATGAGTTCAGTTTAAAATGACTTAGTAAAGAAGTGATGTAATTTAAATAAGATAATTGTGGTTCAAATAAGATATTGTGCTAAAATAACTTTTGTTATTTTAATTTTAGCACATGCCAAACAAACATTTAGCCACCGTTTGAGAAGTGGATTGGTTTTTTGACTTTTTAACTATTTTAGTCTGGGCCTAAAAAGCCTGATTTGGAAAAGGCTTTTTGAATTTTTTGGCTTTTTGACTTTTTGGTGAGGTGTCTTCCTATTAATTTACCAAAGTGCCCTTGATTGCCCTTGAGCCACATATATCTATAATTTTGCAAAGTCCACGTCAGCTTCTGAAAAGGTCTGAAATTGTTAGTTTATATTTTTGCCATATTTATTTTTATTTATTGTTTTATACATTAATTATTTATTTTTTGCCTTATTTATTTTTATTTTTGCCATATTTATTTTTATATATTGTTTTATACATTAATTATTTATTTTTTTCCTTATTTATTTATTTTTTTGCCATATTTATTTTTATTTACTGTTTTATACATTAATTTTTTATTTTTTGCCTTATTTATTTATATTTTTGCCATATTTATTTTTATATATTGTTTTATACATTAATTATTTATTTTTTTCCTTATTTATTTATTTGCCATATTTATTTTTATATATTGTTTTATACATTAATTATTTATTTTTTGCCTTATTTATTTATATTTTTGCCATATTTATTTTTATATATTGTTTTATACATTAATTATTTATTTTTTGCCTTATTTATTTATATTTTTGCCATATTTATTTTTATATATTGTTTTATACATTAATTATTTATTTTTTGCCTTATTTATTTATATTTTTGCCATATTTATTTTTATATATTGTTTTATACATTAATTATTTATTTTTTGCCTTATTTATTTATATTTTTGCCATATTTATTTTTATATATTGTTTTATACATTAATTATTTATTTTTTGCCTTATTTATTTATATTTTTGCCATATTTATTTTTATATATTGTTTTATACATTAATTATTTATTTTTTGCCTTATTTATTTATATTTTTGCCATATTTATTTTTATATATTGTTTTATACATTAATTATTTATTTTTTGCCTTATTTATTTATATTTTTGCCATATTTATTTTTATATATTGTTTTATACATTAATTATTTATTTTTTGCCTTATTTATTTATATTTTTGCCATATTTATTTTTATTATTTTAAATCAAAAAAATTTAAATAATTTAAATATTCAAAAAATTTAAATAATTTAAAATGTTAATATTTTAAATTTAAAAACAACTCTACACTCAAGTCGTAACCAAACACATAAAATAAAACTCAATTAATAAATTATTGAGTTAACTCATAACCAAACACATAACTCGAAATTCCATACTACTTTCACAACTCTACACTCAAATCATAATCAAATACATAACAAAAAAAATAATTAAAATTTTTTTATAAAATATAGTTTAAATTTATTTTCATAAAATATTTTAACAAAAAACAAAAAAAAATGTTTTTAATTTTTTTTTCAACTTTCTTTATTTTTCCTGGTAAAAAGCCTGATTTGAATTTTTTTTTTTTTTTTTTTTTACTTTGTGTGGGCTGACGTCGCCCCTCTTTCATGTGGGGGTAATATGGTAAATTTACCTGTAAAATTGTTGCAGCCATGCTCCTGGCATGCTTTTGTCCGGATGTGGCTAAATTAGCCACTTTTGTCATTTAGTGGCTAATTTAGCCTGAACCCAACTTGCCAAACACAGGCTTAGTGTGATTTGAGAAGGTGGTTAAAAGTTGACTTTTTAATTTTTTTTTTATTTTTTTGATCCTTTTGTGTGTAAAAAAATGTGACAGATGATGTGACCTCAAATGGATTAAAGATAAAAACTAACTTTTTTATTTGGCTTCCCAAATGGCCCCTTAATACGACCCATATATATATATATATATGAGAGGGTAATTTTTTGGTGAAAATTGGGCCGAGCTATGAGATGGACTTTATGGCCCGAAGTACGAAGGACTGGGTAAAAAGGGCCGAGAAGTTACTCCGGCCCAAGAGAGATAAAGTTACTCCGGCCAAAAGAGATGAAGTTACTTCGGCTCAGGAATTGTAAAGCTACTTCGGTCCGGAAGCAACTTGAAGTTAGACCGGTCTTGGAGTTATACCGGTCTTGGAGTTATACCGATCTTGGAATTATACCGGTCGCGAATCGTTAGTTCGGTCTAAACCGTACCATGAGTTCTACATGAAAAGCCGAGATAGGAAAGAGTAAAAGGAAGAACCGAACTAAGGATAGTTCGGCCTACTCTGTGGCTCAGCACAGCCAGGTTTATCTCGGTCGTATGGTAGTTCGGCCATGGTGAAAACCATCCCACTTGATTTAAGCAGTGGGAGGGGTGTTAAAGGATAAGCACTATCCTTTAGAAGTATGAATCCTAGGAGGACTCTGCATGGAGGAGTAAAAGTCCTACTAGGATTGTGCCACTCGAAACCTATAAAAGTTCACAAACATCACCTTGGAGGAGGTAACACAACACACAATTTTGCTTTCTGAATACATTGAGCTTTGTCTACTTGTCAAGCTTGCTGACTTAGGCATCGGAGAGGTTTCCGGCACACACCCGCCGACTAGCTCACGTTTGTGTTTTCAGGTGACAAAGCGACGTCGTACGGAGGAGCGCGGACTTAGTCAACAGGATTATACGAGGAGAATTATTTCTTTCCCGTACAATTGGCACCGTCTGTGGGAAAAACAGACAGAACAAAACCTCTTGATTAAAGCTTCTCCCCTTTACAATCAATGGCACACATTGAAGAATTGCCGCAGTCCGCCGTCGACGGACTAACTCCAGAAGAAGGCGCAAGGCGAGAAGGATTACCCTCTGTCCCTCCCATGGCGGACTTGGAGTCCCAGCGTCATAACTCCAGGAGAGATACTAGGGGAAGGCGAATTCACAGCCCCCGTCAATCTCGCTCACAAAGTCCTGACAGGCAAAGACGGAGGATTGACCCTCAAGCTCTGGAAGACCACGTGAAAGAGCAAGATGAATTGATAAGAAAGATAGCGGCGGACATGGAGGCCTTGAAACGCCAGATGAAGAAAAAAGAAGTGACGACAGGAGAGGGGCGCAAAAATAAGACGCCCCCTTGTCACTCAGAAAATCGTAGCAGAAATACCACACCTTCGCAAGGAGAGAGTAGAAGCCTCAGGACAAGCGATACTCAATCCTGGTCCTCCAGAACTCGTCACTCAAGGTCTGAAAGGACGAAATCTGAAAGGTCATACACTGAAGGAAGCACATATTGGCCCTCACATTCGCATCAAACCAGATCTAGGCAGACGGAATTACCCAGATCATCCGACTTACGAACCGTGCTCGAAGAGAAAGCACGATGCAAGGAGGATGCCAGGGCGCGGGATCCGCACAGAGTTTCTACCTTACAGCGGTTGGCTTATCGGACGCATGGAAGCGTCGAGGTTGGAATGTCAATACCGCACCCTGCCTACGAACCAACGGACAAGGCATTAGCAAGGCTGCAGACTTTACCGTTTGTTCCGGCGATGGAAAACGCGCCCCTACCATCAGGCTTCCTTCAGCCAAAATTCACTACATATGAAGGGAAGACGGATCCCTACTCACACTTGAGCCACTTTCGCCAAGTCATGGCTATATACAGGCGAAACGAGGCCTTAATGTGCATACTCTTCCCATCAAGTCTTGGAGAAGAGGATGGCGTACGTGCCAAAGCAAAATCTGGTGCGACCGCAGTACCAGAAAAGAAGACCTCAGCAAAGGTCAACACGGTAGATCGTCAGAACAGAAATGGACGTGGCAGACGAGATAGCGGAGAAGACCCGAATAAAAGATGGTTAAGAATCCGCACTGCCATAACCACGGTGTTCAAGAAGCCAATATATCGGATTCTTAGCGAAATAAGAGATGAGTCTTTCGTCAAGTGGCCAGCAAAGCTAGGAGAAGCTCAGAAGGACTATGACGAAAGGTCACGGTGCACCTTCCACAAAGAAAAAGGGCATCGCACTGAAAACTGCACGCCATTGAGACAACACCTGGAGGAATTAGTGGCGGCAGGACACTTGGATAAATACATTGAAGGAGGGGCGAAGCCAGCCCCCCAGGACCATAATAACCACCCTAACGGAATGCCAATTGACGCCCCGCCCCAAGGCATTATCAATGTGATACATGGAGTTTTTGAACCCGAGCGTGTATGCGAGCTCAGGGGATCAATCAAAAAGGCTGAGCACTTTAGAGAGGTGCTAAGTGCCCAACCCGCCATCAAGAAGGGAAAGACAGAGGCAACAAATGTCATGTCCTTTTCGGATAAGGACTTGGATCGAATATACTGTCCTCACAATGATGCGCTGGTCGTCACTCTCCGAGTCAAGGATTTTGACGTCAAGCGGATTCTGATTGACCAGGGTAGTTCATGTGAGATCATGTACTATGACACATTCAAACAATTAAAGCTGCAAGACAAAGACTTGGCACCTGCTGTATCACCCTTAATTGGATTCAACTGTATGCCAGAATGGCCCGTCGACAAAATAATTCTTCCAGTTAGGGCAGGAAGCGTGACGAAACAAGTGGAGTTCTGGGTATTAAAGGTCCCCTCCACTTACAACATCATCTTGGGCAGAGCGTGGCTGCATGCCATGCGATCGGTGGCGTCATCCTACCACCAAGTAATGCGATTCCCCAACGACACCGGTATAATTGAAGAAGTTTATGGAGATCAGATTATGTCGAAACAATGCTTCGTCACGGTAAATGGCAGCCGCACTGCCAAAGGATACGTTCATTCGGTGGAAGAACCTGAGAATAATGAGCTATTCGCGGATGTCGGCAAGTCGGCGGATCAAAAAGCAGTAGAGGACTTGGTAGAGGTAAAAATTGATGAAAAGAACCCGGATAAGTTCTT